GGACTGAGCCGGCAAGGATCCACCTCCCCTTCCGCAAGCGACTGACCATGGAGTCAACCGCGATATTGGAGCACCTGGTCCTTGCTCTCACTGGCTTCGGAGGAGAAATCTCCTATGCCACCAGACCACCTTGGACCCAGCTACTGACCATTGTCGACACAGATGTGCCACCAAAGGTCATGGATCGACCGCAGCCAGGACCGACGGTCTTTACAGACGCCTCCTCCACGACTTCTACTGCAGCAGCAGTGTGGCAGGCAGGAGAAATATGGCATTGTGTCAAAACATGTGACCCCACACTGTCAGTGCAACAGCTGGAAGCAGCAGCAGTCGTCTTGGCATGCAGACTCTTCCAAGATGAACACCTCTACATCGTAACAGAATCTATATTCGTGGCAAAGCTTTGCCTAGCCATGTCGAGACCAGGTGTGTCAGCATCTACAGCGGCCTCAATGCTTGAAGAGGCACTCATGACAGGGCACTGTGTCTGTCATTCACATCAACAGCTACAACCCAGTCAAGGGTTTCTTCCAGACTGGAAATGACAAAGCAGATGGCACGGCAAAGGGAGTGTGGACGTTGCAGGAAGCTCATCAACTGCACGAGTCACTCCACATTGGAGCCAAAGAACTGGCGAAGAGATGCGGGATCTCGACAGCAGACGCAAGACACGTGGTGGCCACTTGCCCTCACTGCCAGAAGTCACCCCTATGGACCGGTGGGGTCAACCTGAGAGGCCTCAAGGCCTCAGAAATCTGGCAGTCAGACTTCACTTTCTGCGAACTGCTGAAGTCCCGAGCATGGCTTGCAGTGACAGTGGACACTTACAGCGGAGCAATCGTGGCAACACAGCACCTCAAATCCAACTCTAATGCCACAATCCAGCACTGGCTGACAGTTATGGCATGGCTTGGTATCCCCAAGCAAATTAAAACTGACAATGCTTCCAATTTTATCTCCAAATCAGTGCAGGAATTCGCCTCGGTGTGGGGCATCGCCTTAGTACAAGGGATCCTATATAACAGCACCAGACAGGCCGTAGTTGAGCAAGCAAATCAGACCCTAAGAGCCAAGCTAGAAGTATTGGCAAAGGCAGAGGGCTTTGCCAATTCCATTCCCTCAGGAGACCAAGCACGCATGCTGGCAACCGCGTTGCTAGCACTGAACCAATTCCCTAGGGGAGATGAGACAAATAGTCCCATTCAAAAGCACTGGGCCACCCAGACACTAGAGGAGGGCCCACAGGTCATGATCAAAAACGAGCTAGGCGAATGGGAACGGGGCCAGAGACTGGTGCTTACGGGACGAGGGTACGCGGCAGTCAAAAAAGAGGACAGAATCAGGTGGTGTCCACTCAGGTCAATCAAACCTGACCTTCAGAATGAAACTAATGAAAAACTGTGAGTTTCTGTTTGCAGGACATGCTCGTGGACCATCCCCATGACGCATACACCCCTGTTCCAGAGGAAGATGATGGACCACCAAGCCACCAGACAAAACCCAAGAGTCCCACACCAGTGAGATCCAGACATGCACAGTGTCTTTGTGTGATTTTGCTGTTGGGGCTTGTGGCCGGGGGGCAAGCCGACCCAGGCCATTACCCCCATCAGCCATTCAGGTGGGTCATGCAACATCTTTCAAGCGACAAGGTGTTCAAAGAGGTCACCACAGTGAACACCCCATCCTTCATGTTCCACATAGCTGATCTGTTTCCAGGACAACCAAAACTACGGCCCATAAACCCATGTATCGTACTCATGTACATATCCTACTGGTGCCTAGCGTCCAACCCAGGGAAAAGGTACTGCAACTACCCGGGGTGGGGACATCGCGGATATTGGGGCTGCGAAACCATTGTTACAGATGCCAGACCATGGGGAGATGGGTGGCAACTGCAGGAGCCCGACAAATTTTTACAGTTCACCTGGGCACCCTTTGGCTGTGGAGACCACAATGCACAACCTAGATATCGGGGATGTGTAAGTTATAACATGACTGTTCTACAGCCAGATCACCCTAGTTGGGCCACAGGTAGAACATGGACAGTGGTCCTCAGAGGACCGAGAAGGTGGGTGAGTGTACGAATTATCAGGCTCCAACCACCAGCACCTCGACCAGTAGGACCCAAAAAAGTTATCAAGAACGTGCTAAAAGGGAAAAACACAACGCACCCCAGAACCTTGCCCCCAAAGGTCACCGATACCCCAACCGGCCATGCGGATGCCCTCCAGATAGGCCACACAGCTGAGTCAGACCCAAACCCAATCTTTCGTATGCTAGAAGCTACCTGAATGAAACCAAACCGAACCTAACTAACTCCTGTTGGCTTTGCTATGATGTTAAACCCCCTTTCTACGAAGGTATTGTTTTAGACACCCCCTTCAGTTACTCCACAGCCAGTGCCCCCCACCAGTGCAGATGGGACACTCCCCGCAGAGGAATCACCCTGAGTCAAATCACAGGACAAGGCAAATGTTTTGGCAATGCAACTTTAGCAAAGCAGAAAGGCAACTTCTGCACTAAAGTTGTCAAGCCCAACAGAAAGACCAATAAGTGGGTGGTCCCATCCACATCTGGGATGTGGGTTTGCCAACGATCAGGAGTAAGTCCTTGTGTGTTCCTTGCCAAATTTAATGACTCTATCGACTTCTGTGTCCAAGTTCTGATTGTTCCTAGGGTCCTGTACCACTCGGACGAAGAGGTATACCACCTTTTCGAGGAACCCGACAGACTCCACAAAAGAGAAATAATCACAGGTATAACTATCGCAATGCTGCTCGGCCTGGGAGCAGCTGGCACAGCCACGGGTGTCTCAGCCATCGCAACCCAACAGCACGGACTCTCTCAGCTGCAAATGACCATCGATAAAGACCTGCAGAGGATCGAGAAATCCATCTCCTATCTAGAGAAATCAGTCTCCTCGCTTTCAGAAGTAGTTTTACAAAATAGGCGAGGACTGGACCTCTTGTTCATGCAACAAGGAGGACTGTGTGCAGCTTTGAAAGAGGAATGCTGCTTTTATGCAGATCATACAGGAGTCGTTAAAGACTCCATGGCAGAACTCTGAGATAGACTGGCTCAGAGAAAGAAAGACAGGGAAACCCAACAGGGCTGGTTCAAATCCTGGTTCAATCAATCGCCTTGGCTTACCACTTTAATTTCCGCCCTGGTAGGTCCACTGGCAATACTGCTTTTAGCTGTTACCATAGGACCATGCCTGCTGAACAAGCTAGTCTCATTTGTTCAGCCCATCTAGAACGGGCGAACATTCTGTTTGTAGGCCAGCAACAAATGCTGTAAACCAAAAACTGCAAACACTGCCAGTCGCAAAAGCCTTCGAAACTCACCTTGCGATAATTACTCAGGTTTACCAAACCCCTTTTTCCTTACCAAGTTACAAGTTTGTACCTCACTCCAGTGCCTATATCTACGACTACCTCATTTTATTTATGAAAAGGAGGGGGGAGATGTAGTAGATAGGGACAGGCGAACGGAAGATCTCGGGATGTGATGGAAAGAAAGACCCCTTCCCCCTCTCCTCCTGCAGCACATTATCTATTACCCCCAGAGCATGTAACCACACCTAACCCAGTAGTTTTCCACTCCTTACTAATCCTAGAGACCCTACCAACCCCCCCTGACGTAGCAAAGTCCCCTGAGACTATTTAAACCCATGAGATAATAAAGGCCTTTCGACTGTCCACCACATTGGTGTTAGCATGTGCTGTTGGCCCGAGTAGCCCGGGCAAAGCCGGGCTGCCATGCTGTTCCTTGCAACCAGGTTGCCTTGCCTTCCCCTGAAGGCAACACCCCCGCCAGACCTCTGCCAGGACCCCACAGCGCCCACATAGCCCACCTGTTTCTGGACACCCTCTGTTCCACCAGAGAGGTAATGACCTTTCCGTGCATCCTCCTGGAAAGGACTGGGAACGTGGTTTTGCCCTGATAGCTTGGAAACGTGGGCGGGAATGAATTCCCCAGCAAAGCGGACAGTTCATACTTCTTGCTGGAGGTTGGGGGCCAGTATTTCTGTGATGGGGAGTCACCTCTCTAGAGAAGAACACGCAATTGTTTCTGTGTGAAAGGACATGATTTCCTTTATTGAAGTCTCTGTGTCAGATGATTCGCTCTGCACTCTGTTAGCCTGGGCCAAATCTCATGACTTTCTGGTAGATATATACACTGCTGTTAGTCTGCAATTATGGGAGGCATTGGGCTACGGGCTCTGGAAGAAATTTCTAAACTGGGCCCCACCACAACTCGACTTATACCTCTATGGGGACTCCTATCTCGTGTGTTCTAAGGCCACACCCGGGGGGGCAGCCAGTCAGATATGGCGATCCTCCACCCTGGGGGGAGGATTTCCAGACCGGGTGGCTGTTGGCTTTTTCCAGCTCCACGTGGACTGGCAAGGAACATGGGGACCTCCCATGGAACCTATCTCACGACTAGAGATTATGTTCCACCAAAATATCCTTATCCCTACAACTCTGTGAAGCCGATATCTTCTCCTCCAGTAAAACCAACACTGCTGAGAGCGATAGCTGTGTCTCTGCCATGCCCGGGGAACGACCTCTCTCTGTTTGCACCATTTTCGACCCCTCCATTGCCACAGATAGAGCCAGAACTATCACCGCTGCAACCAGTGGGTTGTTCTTCTCTGCCCTGTGAAGAGAGGCTGGCAAGCCACTGCAACAACTGGCCCTGCTCCAGCTGCCAGTGATTCCTGCCTCCATCTGGAAGGGAGCAGGGGGATGGCCTTGCGCTGCCCCACAGGCAACTTGGCCCTGCCAGACAGCCCTGCCTTCCCCCTGCCACATGTTGGGACCGACTCTTTCAGGGTTGGCAGGAGCTGCTGTTCCCCCCCCCATCGTGGGTGAGGGTGGAGCCATCTCTGCTGTTGGTGGTTGCCACAGCCAGACTGGTCACTCTGTCAGCTCCCTTGTTGTCAGCACAGAGCCTGCACAGATGTACTGGCCACCCCCATCATCAGTACCTACCGGTGGGTGTTTCTTCCAGCCAATGTTGCAGCCCCTGCCAGCTTGCCCCTCCTCTTCCATGGTGCCTACACAGACAACAGCAGCTGTCACCACTGCATCAGCAGTATCTCTCCAAACAGTAAATCACACAATAGGAGCTATGTTCCCATTCGCCCGCTCACCTTTAGTTGCAGAACAACTGCCTTTTCCTCCTCCCTGCGCAGCAGCTGACTTGGTTGACTAAATGTCTTTTTCAGCTTTGCCATTGTAACCCACGGCAATGATAGCAGTGCTGACAGCCACAGCCACACTGCCCACTGCCGTGCCTCCCGCCGCACCATCTGTGGCTGGACCCCCGGTTGCAGCACAGCCGGAGGCCAGTCCCCCTGCATCTGAACTTGTAACCAGGCCCTTGGCTTCGCAGTCTGCAGTCAGCCCCTTGACTTTGGAGCTTTTGGCCAACCTGCCAACCCCTGCTGCTCTCAGGCTGTCCTCCCCATCCCTGGATGGGGACAGTGACAGTGATGAATGCCAATGGGCAGCCCCTCAGCAGGGGTGTGCCTTGGCGGCAGAATGCGAACACTGACAGGCAGCATCATTGTCCCTGTGTAATGTCTGGACTTTGACCCTCTGCTGAGGTGAGCCCCAAGAACCCTCGCCGTTTTTGGGAAGCAGCTAAGAGCAAGTTTCAGAAACTAGGGATTGGAACCTCTTAGAGAGGGTGGGAATGACACAGTGTGAAGCTAACAACACACTAGATCTGAGGGAAGGGGCTACAGATGTCAGTCAAACAGTTAATCCAGAATCTGTGGGGGAGACACAGGTGGTTCAAGACCACAATGTTCCACCACAAGGAGAGAGTCAAGCTTTCCCCATGTATAAAGCTGTCCCAAATACAGGACATGCTGACAGGTATGATGTGATTGCCTGGAGGGTGGTCCAATATTTGCGAGATAAGGTTGCAGAATATGGCCTTGGCTCCGTGCAAGTTATGCAATTTCTCAGAGTGTTAAACACAGACCTGCTTGCTCCATTTGATACTAGACATATAGCTCGGGCATTGTTCCAACCTGTGCAATTTAGGGTTTTTCTGGACAGCTAGAGGCAGGCCTATGAAAGGCTTGCAACAGAAAACAGGCATTTGCCTCAGGGGGATCCTAGGATTTATGTGGTGGATATTCTCAGAGAAGAGGCCTTTTCCAATCCTGATTTTCAGGCTACCTGGGACTCTGCCATTCTTGAGTAGAGTCATAGGGTAGGATTTAATGCATTGTTAAGAACTATTGAGATGGCTTCCCCCAGGCCATGATATACATCAATAACTCAAGGAGCAGATGAGCCTTTTCTGCCATTTGTTGAGAAGCTTGCAGCTGCTCTGGAGAAGCAAGTTGAGGATGGTATCTTGAGGCAGGTTTTATGCAAGTAGTTAGCTTGGGATGATGCAAACTCTGAGTGCCAGGAGATCATAGATGCTCTTCCAGGCCACCCGATGCTAACAGACATGGTCAACACAAGTTTCAAAATAGCTGCTGTAGATCACAAAGTGTCTGCTCTGATGGTTGCTTTACATCCAGGCCAGAAATCCTCAGGGGGCGTATGACAGAAAAGCAAAAATAAGGGCAAGAAAAAGCAAGGAATGCACAAGCAAACAGACCCAAGTACCAATTCCTTGTGCTCTAGATGCCTAAGGGCAGGTCATTATGCAAACAAATATAAGTCTAGATATGATGCTAATGGCCAATCTTTGGTAGGCCTGGGAAACAGGAGGATGAGTACACAGGGGAATTAAGCTCTGACACAAGTGATTCCTCAGGGTGTTGCACAGGCTCAGGCCTACCCAGCCAGCTCAGAGGCAGCACCCACAGCTCCGCCAGGGTGGATGTATGTATCACAACAGCAGTCATCTTAGAATCCTGTCATGAAGATAAGGTTCCTTTGGATGTTTGTTGTGGGGTGATTTTATGGCTTACCCCAGAACCCCGGTTTCTCCCGTGAAGGTGTCCTCCCAGTTGTGTCAATCACCGGAACCCCCCTGGACAGAGCCCCCAGAGACACTGTCTGTGATCTCTGTCCATGGAAAATAGTTTTCAATCTTACAGGATGAATTACCAGCTCTGAGTGTTTGATATAAGTAATAATTAAGTCTGGCACAGGTGCAAAAGTAAAATTTTAGGATTCTAGATAAGGGGTTCAAAGGGGACAAGATGGAGGACATTGGGTGTGCCTTGTCCTTTTTCTCCTTTTTCATGCCCTCCATGTTTCACTGTGGTGTTGGCATTTTTCTGTTGGTTCAGGCTGGGGACACACTGTCCAACGTAGGTGGCAGATATTGGCACGTTATTGTAAATCCAGCACAGGGAGTTTCTGGTATTTAATGTTTGTAACATCCCACTGAGGGCAGAGCCCCACATGCTGCCCTGCAGGACAGAGCTGCAGCAGGGCAGCAGAACATGTTAAACAGAATAAACTACCTTGAAATCAGCACAGACGAATAATGACTTCTTCTTTGGCAGTGGGGCAGAAAGAAAGAGACTTTCTACAATCTCGGAATCATCAATACCACAGATTCCAACAGCCTGTCACTCCTGGCATTCCCGAAGTGAGCCATCCAGGTGTCCTTTGTCCCTTGAGACCTCCTCTCCTGTACCTGGTTGGTGGCTCCCTAACCCTTCCCTGTTGCAGAGGATAGATAGATATGATTGTTATCTTAGCTAGCCGAATGTCACTTCTACCCTTGGATGAATCCTGGAGTGAAATGGACTGTTCCATCCCACCCTGCAAGAGATTGTGGTTCATCCCGCACCTCTGTACCTGCCCCTAAAACAGAGTCTGTAACCCCATTGGCCCATGCCTTGTCCCAGCCCACCTGGGAGCCCCTGATAAGGGGGCTCCGAGCAGCCGTGCGGCCTCTTGGATTTCCTCCCCTCTAGGACTCCCTCCCCCTCTGGGGCTTCCCCTCTCCTAAACCCTCCGTTTCTCTCTCCCCTCCCCCATCCTCCTAAGCCCAGCCACATGCTACGCCTGAGAACACGAGGCTCGGGCATTCCTGAATCTTTGAATAAACCTCTCTCCCCAAGAGCAAGCTTCAGAGATCTCTGCCTAACTACACCCCAACCGTGCAAAGGAGCATAATCATCCCACACTTCCCCCCTCGCCTCCCCCAGGTAAAAGAGAGTTCTGATGGGGCAGTGACAGGATTCAGAGGTCTGCATGGGAGTTCTGCTTAGAACTGTGACTGGATTCAGAGGCCTGCGGGCCAGAATAAAAGCTCAGGATTAAACCCCCCATCAGAATCGACTCCTTTCCTTCACCATAGCCTTAAAGGCTTCTCCAACAGCGGGAAATCTGAGGAGCGGACCTCAGTGAAAGGAAGCCCCATCCCGCCACCTGAATTCTGGCTTGCCTGGACTTGTCTCCATGCAACAAGTCCTGCAACATCCAGCTAGCCAAAAGTGTCTCTGGGGTGAAACACCACAGTTGCTGCTATTTGGTTCAACAGCAGGGGCCAGACAAGCCAGGGCACGTCCCATTCTCAATACTGGTAACCACCAATAGATGTGTTTGAACCTCTGAGACAAGGATTGAGTGCACCGCTTGTGGGAAGATCTAGTGTCACCCACCAAGAAATCTTTGTTCAACCAGGTGTCATTGACTTGGCTTTTCAGGTCAAATTTGTACTAAGTTTCCACAACAACCACCCCCCCTCCCCCTCCACGCCCCCACACCCCCCCCCACCCCGTCACTATTCCGGCAGGGACTCGGATTGCTTCACTTGTGCCTTTTCAGTCATGTGTCCCCAGCACTGGCCAGTGGACTCGTGGGAATGGTGGCTTTGAATACATGAGACTGACACAAGTCTTATGGTCTACAAATTTTTCTGTTTGACAACCCCAGATGATGTGTACTCTGACCCTACTGCTATATGTGTATGATAATTTGTGCAAATAAAATTGTCATGTATTTTATAGTTATGTGCTGTAAGATATACTCTTATAAGAAGTTTTTAAAAACACACAAGCCAGCTACAGGGATTGCAACACAATGTTGAAACCACCTAGACAAAGGAGGGAGGACTCCATTCACAAGCAGTTGAACATAGCCAGCCCGGAGATGGATCACCCATCAAGTGGTCCAAGGAACGCCCAGATGATAAATATGCTGTAAATATCTGAAAGTGAGATAGCCAGAGCCATCAGGGAGATACATCTCAATACCTAATTCCAGGAACATGATCATGGGTGTTCATCACTCTCCGGACATGTACTGTTCAACTTGCCACAGAGAAAAGAACTCCACCTGAATACGTGCAGTCCAAAAAGGAAGAAAAGGGACTCTGCCTCAAGCAAGAAAAATCATATAAAAATCAGCCAGACAGGTCAGTCAACATGGAGCATAAGAGACCCTCTGCTGCAGCAGTCAAACCTGTGTCTCACACAACACCAACACCCGGGCTTGGCACTGACCTTTTTTTTATTTTTTGATAGTGTTTGATAGTGACTTTTCTTTTTGTTGTTATTCTCTAAATTTATATTTAGTACATTTAATAAATTTTCTTAAATTAATAAATTGGAGCTTTCATTTATATACTACCGGATGCTTCCCTGACGAAGATTGGGCTTTGAGGTTTGATCGACACAGGGGTGGATGTGACAGTTGTCTCCCTCTTTGCATGGCCTTCTATGTGGTCTTTGGCTCCCAGAGGGTTGGCCATTGAAGAGGTGGGGGGTGCAGCACATACTTTGGTAAGCCAATGGTCTGTGCTGATCAGTAACATGAATGGGCAGACAGCTGCAGTTTGGCTCCATATCACTCCATCTCTGATCAATCTTTGGGGGCAGGATGTATTGGCAGTCTGGGAGGTATAAATTGGGACAGATTTTTAATTGGGGCCACTGTATTGAAGATATGCTGCACTGCCTTTATGGTGGCTGGTGGACAAACCCATTTGGGTACACCAGGGATCCCTGACAAAAGACAAATTGGTCACCCTTCGTGAATTGGTTCAGGAACAACTTCAACAGGGACACGTTGAGTGTTGAGGAATTTTTGCAGGTCAATGGACACATTCAGCAGATGCACAATCCAGCCTTCTGGTAACAAAGTAGCCAGTTCAAAGAACGGGGACAGTGAATCCTTGAGGACGGAGAAAAGAAGAAGAGTCAGCAAGAATCAGCAAAGTTGTCAGCAAAGTTGTCAGCAAAGCTCGGGAAAGTGAAATAAAGA